CAGATCGCGATAGGGGTCAAGTTGTCGCCTCACCTTCGCCTCTACCGCCTCCCCCCACCCGACGAAGAATCTCCTCCTGAAAGGGCGGAAGAGGACATCCGGTGCCCTCAATGGGCTCACACCCGGCCTCATCTCGAACAGCCGCCGCCGCCGAGCCATCATCGGCAACCTCTCCTGGTGGGAACGCGCCACAACCACACCATGGTGAGGTCGTGGGCCTCAGCAGCCTCGCCAATTTCTCCAGAGCGGCCCAATTTTGGGCTGGTCGACCTTCGGGACGCCCCACTTCCACTTCTCCGGCAACTCCCCACAATCCGCCCGGTAGGGGGGAAGCCTCCGTCGTCGTTACGGAGATAAAACCAACTTGTGTACCACCGGCGGTTGGAGGACGCGAGTTGGGCCGGATGTAGAGGGCAAAGCGGTCCCGACGACTTGAGAGTGCAGCCTCCGCCCTCGCCGCCTTCCTCTTCCCCGACGTGTCTGACGGCTTTGTAGTATGCCCCGCCCGAACAGATGGAGCCACAACTCCCAATGGGGCGCGATCCCTAATACCCTCGCAGACGGCAACAAAGATAGTCACCGAGCAACGGAGTTGGGATTAAAATTGTGGAGCTCCACGCCGTAGTAGTGCGAAGCGCCAGATGAACCGGTCCGCCGGGACGCCGAGGCCACGCTGTGGAAGGGAGACGGTTACGACATAGCCGTCATCAGGCTTCGGCTCGCCGCCAGACGGAGCAATCCATTCCGCCGGTGGAGTCGGGCCATCGGGCGGAGGAGCCCACCGTCGACAAGCGATCGAGCATCTCTCGGTGACGTCCGACGGATCCTGTGGGTCCGCCGACGACAACGATATCACCGCCATGGGTGCGCTGGGGAATCAAAAGGGCGGTGAGTCTTTTTCTCTCCTCCCACGCTCTCACTTTTTTCTCGCTTCCTCCCTAGGCTCGCTTTCTTCCTCCTCTCCTTTCTCAAGACTCGCCGCTTCTAGCGACGGCTCGGCGGGGGCGGCTACGATGCAGTAAGGTAAGACGAGGAGGGCAAAACTCCCCGGTATTTATGCAGGAGGAGGAGGCGTAAACGAGAGCATGATGAAATCGGGAGATTTCAATGGCGCGCGGTTAACCACGAGCCGATTTCACCGCCCACGCTACCATCGCCTCCCCGAGATTAAATGCGAGGACGGTTACGCCCCATCCACCACGCCACGCCGCCACTACGGCAAAGCAAAACCGCTTCGACTCCCAATAAAATCGCCTTCAAAGGCGCGCGCCACTCGCGGCCGAGCCAATAGGGAAAATATTTCCGCTGGCCTGCTCCTTTCATAGGAAGGAACCGGCTCGAGCCTATTACGATCCAGGGGTTCAAGGTCGGACCCCAAAAGGGTTTCGACAACTGCCCTGTGATAACAGAGTCGGGGCGATCATGGGCGAGCCTATTCGGGGCCGAGACCCAAGCGAAGCTAAACGCTTGGGACGCCCAAAGTCGTGGTCCGAGACCGCAGAAAGTATCCGAATGGGATCCCACCGTAGGGAGGCACCGAGCCACCGAGGCCCAACGAACGGCCCTGCAGACCCACTAGAGAAATCCTCCGTACTCTTGAGTGTGTCTCGACCGCTAGCCATCCCCTAGCGAACGGGGTTCGGGCCTCCACTGACTACCCGATAACACCACACGGAAGTGCCACCGCCGTGCCCATCGAGGGTAGCGAGGCACATCCACCCTCCTTCCGAAAGCGAAAAGGAAGCGCGAGGGTCGAGATAAAAGTCGGGAACCCCGACGGCCTTCTCGCCCCTATGCAGAGGCTAGGGGCTCCTCCCAAATATGCCGAGACCCCACGACCGGCTCGCGCCCAAAGGGGCCTGCAAACAAACCTCACGCGCGAGGGGCGATAAAAAGTCGGGAACTCCCGACGGCCCTCTCGCCTCTCAAGGCAGAGGCTAGGGGCTCTTCTCGCGACCTTGCCGAGACCAGAATGGGCTCAAGAACAAACCTCACACGCGAGGGGCGATAAAAGTCGGGGAACTCCCGACGGCCCTCTCTCTCGCTCAAGCAGAGGCTAGGGGCTCTTCTCCGCGATCTTGCCGAGACTGTAATGGGCTCTGCAAACGAACCTCCGTCCAAACGAAAAGGATATGTGAGGGGCGAATGAAAAGTCGAGACCCCGACCGCCCTCTTGCTCCAAAGCGGAGGCTCTGGGGCTCCTCTTGCACCCAAAAAACCAAGACAAAACACGATAAAGGGCACCGAGCCCACATGGTCCAGGGGTTCAAGGTCGGGCCTCCAAGAGGTTTCGACAATTAGCCTGTGGTGGCAACAGAGTCGTGGACGACTTTGGGCGAGCCTCACGAATGGCCCAGTTCGAACGAAAGCGCCGCCGGGGGCGCCCTAAGTCGTGGTCCGAGACCGACAGAAAGTATCCGAATGGGATCCCACCGAGGGAGGCACCGAGCCACCGAGGCCCAAACGAACGGCCCTGCACCCACTAGAGAAATCCTCCAGCATTTTTGGAGTGCGCTCGACCGCTAGCCGCCCCTAGCTTAACGGGCTCGGGCCTCCACTGACTACCCGATAACAACCACCGAAAGTGTCCACGCCACGCCCATCGAGGGTAGCATGGCACATTCCACCCTCCTTCCGAGCTTAAAGGAAGCGTGAGGGGATACCCAACGCCGGGGACCTCGACGAACCTCTCGCCCATGCGGAGGCTAGAGGGCCTTTTGCAACCTCGCCGAGACCCCCGCAACCCGAAACTTGCGCTTATGGGCTCGGCAAATGCAATAAGAACTGATCACTCAAACGCGAAAGAGAGAAAGCCCTCGAGGAGTAACTTCACCTCCAGGGGCTGAAGACACTCACAGGAGAGAGGCCAGCACCCACCGAACCTCGTAAAACAAACCAATTCCCACGGAGTGCATAAACCCAAACTCGACGAACCCTCGTGGAGAGTGCACGACTCACCCCGAGGCTCGGGGCCACTGCTGGCACCTTAGAATGGGGTACCCCAAGCAAACATCAAAACAAAGCTAGAAGGTAAGTCGTGGGCCCCTCACCCGCCACGACCGAGCCCTCCTCCACCTCGCCGAGCCTCGAAAGCAGAGGTCTCTTGAACAAACTCCGCCCGCGCGAGGCTCCCCTGGTAGGCCTCGGCAGGGGGCGCCCGAGCCTCTGCAGGGACGCTGCCTCCGCCTCGCCCGAGGCTATCCAGGAAGGCCTCAGCAGGGTACATTCTCAGATCGCGCGCGAGGCTCCCGCAAGGCCCGCAAGGAACCCGATCCGCCTCGCGCGAGGCCTCATTCTCCGTGGTCGCCGAGGTCGGCTCGTCTGCGTCCGTCGCTCGCCTCTACCGACCCTCCCAACAACTCGTCATGTCTCATTAATGCTTCAACCACCCCGCAATCTCACCGGACGGTGGCTCAACGCCACAGATGGCCGACGCGACCCGAGGGTCGATCGCCATACCACAGGCCGACCGGATTAAGCCATCGTGCAGGTCCACGATCAGCGACCATACCGCCGGGACAGGACACGACGGGATTACCACCATCGTGGTCCTACCATCAGGTCCACGATCAAGCACCATACCGGCCGGGAAAGGGTACGACGGGATTACCGACCATCGTGGTCCAAACGCTGCACTCCATGATCGGCCGCCCGCCAAGGCCTCGCAGATCAGACACCGAGGCCTCGGCGATCTTGGGGTTCGTGGCTCGCCGAGACCCCCATCAGCAGTGCCGCCCTCAGATCGACCAAGCTCTCGGCAGATCACAAGACAGTCCGGCCCACAAGTTGGCTTGCACGCGCCGCGCCCAAGATCCACTCCGAGGCATTCCTGGGCTCCCACGACGCACAGATCTCGATGGGATGACCACGCCGCCCCAAAGACTCCAAGGATGGACCACCCGACGGCCACGCCGCCACAGAACAAAGCTACAGGGCTCTGACACGCCGCCCTGCTGCTCACACGACGCCAGATAGTCAGCTCATGTACCGCCAAGTCCTCCCTTCATGCTATAAAAGGAGAGGACTGGGTTGTTTTAGGGGGGGGGGACACCTTGTAACACACACACACACTCCCGCCGCCGAGAGCAACGCCTCAAGCGGCCCGCACGACACCCCCGCCGAGACCTAGGACCAGCTCCTTCTCTCCTTTAGCTTGTATGGCGAAGAGACCTCTCTTGAATAAATCCATCTCAGGCGACTTTGAAGAAACTGAACAAGACTACATGGTATGCACTTTCTTGCCCTGTTAGCTTGTGTGCTTTACCTCATTAGTCTCAGATCAGAATGGTTAGAAGTATGTAAACTGTTGGTAGCCCACGTTGGTCTGAATTCAGCCTATTACTATGCTGTTGTGATTATTGTTTGTTATGATTGGCCGCAGAGTAGGGGACAAGGTATCACATACAATGACTTTTATTCATTGCACGGTATTTTATGAGGGTTTTTTACGAGGATAATTTTTTTATCCTTTTGGGAATAACATTTGTAATATTGTTGAGGCAACAGGAGTAAAATCAAGGAATTGCTAGTTTACACAGTGCCAGAAAACAGGTAAAATATGCTACTACGGGGGTATGTAAAACAGCTTACCTTTTGGGATCAGACCTGTTGCCACCCATGTTACCAGATCCAAACTGGGGTCATTAGATGAATGGTTGGAATGTGAGTTTTGTTTTATATATAATAAATAAATAGATGAGAAAAAAAAACGAGGTTACAATAGCGATGCATGCAGGTTCTAAGGCCTTATAGGCTTGCTCTTCTCTAGTGAACACATAACAGCATAAGCTCACGTGCTTAGTTGGCTGGTTTCATCAACTGTGGATGTGCTTGTTTTGAACCCCATCTCCGGATGCTTTTGTGAAGCAATAATCAGCACCATCTGCTTGGGCTGGATCATTCTTCTCAGAACCCAAATCCAGTTTTCTCCAGCAGCTGTTGGATGAAGTTACTTATCCACTTTCTTTTCCCCTGATTAAACCACCTGGTTGTCTGGGCTCATGACTATGGGTACGACCATGCCAGAGGTCAGCTTTTAAGACCCTGGCTCATCAAATGAAGTGACTAATATATGGCCTCACTACCACTCCACAGTCAAACTGACAAGTCAAAAATATAACCAGCTAGGAGTCTTTTCTTAGATTGGCTTGCCACCCTTGTTAATTTTTCCTCTCTGTTTCATATGGTTTCCTTTTTCTTTGTTGTTTTCATAAGCATCTGTACAGTCCTTTTGTATTTCAATATATTTCTTTTCGCCTACTATTATTACAGCTCAAAACAACCTTTGTTTTTCTGTTGGCATTGTTATGATAGTAATAATATGATTATTTGTCCTTGTCTTCTAGGAGCAAGACATGGTTGCCAGAACAAGAATCTATCGTCGGAGGGGCCGCAATCGAAAGCTGAAATATACTTGGAAGTCTGCAGGGCATCCAACTGTCAGAAAAAGAATTGGTGATGGGAAGCAATGGTACACACAATATAACCCATGTGTGTGCCAGCAAATGTGTGGTAAAGATTGCCCCTGTGTGGAAAATGGAACTTGCTGCGAAAAGTACTGTGGTTCGTCCCAAGTTATGCTAACTTTCCCTTTTTTATTGAGCAGATAGATTTCTGTTGTTCCTTTACCCCTGTTCTCCTAGTGATTAAGTATGAACTGACAATTATTTCGTATATTTTACTAATGAAAATGCAGAGTAAAAAATTATACTGATTTCATTTCTGAATACTCATGTGTCATGATTAATCAATATAGGCGTTCGAAGAGCTGCAAAAACAAGTTTAGAGGCTGCCATTGTGCAAAAAAGTCAATGCAGAAGCAGACAGTGCCCTGTTTTGCAGCCAATCGTGAATGTGATCCAGATGTTTGTAGGAATTGCTGGGTGAGGTAATCAGCACTGGTCTAATTAACAATTGACCTGTATGCATTCATGAACTAGTTAAAATAATCATACAACAGGGTCAAGACTCAAGAAACTGTAATTTTTGTTAACTGCCTTTCTTGTTCTATTGTCATATTCATATTTCTGATTTGTACTATTATTGTTTATCACTCATAACATGATGTCTATTGTCTTCAGCTGTGGAGATGGTTCACTAGGTGAGCCACCTGCAAGAGGTGATGGCTATCAGTGTGGAAATATGAAGCAGGCAGGGTAGAAACGGAAGGAGCTGTTTTCTTTTTGTTTCTATGAATTAAAACTAGCTAAAAAGTGTATTTCAGCGTGTTACACCTGGCTTTTACAATTGATGGCAAACGAGCCGAAACCACTTTGAGGGGTGGTAAAGAAGAGGGAGAGGGAGGGAGGACCGGAGGAGCCAGGAGGGTCAGTGTAACGGAAACGGAACAGGAGCTTCAGGTGTCGTGGAGTAAGCGTAACTGTCCGTCTGCGGTCTGCCCCCACCTTTCTTGGACATTCAAGAGAGGCAGTTGGCATCGCTTCTCACATTTTTGTTAGCCACGTTCATAATAAATCTATTGTCAACTATAAGGAGCATTATTATTAAATAAATAAAGAGATTAAAACACCAGATCTCGTTTGCTTTTCACAAGTTCTAATAAAATAAATTGAATCTTTTGAAATTCCTTGCGTTCCAAAGGAAATCCAGAAATTTTGAGGATCACCCACATGTCCTTGATATATTTGTGGTATGTACAAGGGAGCGATAAAATTCCAGTTGACACATGCTTTGATCTTATTTCAATATACAAGGGCCATTTAGTTTATATGATGATAGACATATTATAACTTCCATCACTGGTCAATAGAATTATATACAATAACAAATGAAAAAAGAATTCTTGTTTTTTTTTATAAGGGCTCAAACTGTGGGGGTGATCCCCACGGTCTGGAGTAATTGGAGCAACCATGAGCAAAGGCCAAATGCTCACTGACTCATTGTAGTTCAATTTGTTTATCAGTCCAATTGTCTAACCACGGTGTCTTCGTTGTAAAACAAATTATCCCTAAAAACACATTTGAAACAATCCCTAAAAACTCCAATTGCTCTCTTTTTACAGTCAATGAATCAACTTACATTTACAATTACAATTGACATCTGAATATCTGACCAATTGCTATCTTTTCACAATCAATGAATCAACTTACATTTACCGAGGAAAAAACATATAAGGGCTCATCCAAAGAAGGAAAAGACAGTGGTCACCACCTTGTTACTGCATCCTATTCTCGTGAGGACACTAGATGGTAGAACAGCAGCTCATTCCATGTGTCTGGGACTGCAGGAAGGCACCAATGGCTGCAGTCCTGGCCACTCGATGCTGTTAAATCTACTCCTTCCGTCGATAAACAGATGGGTGACCATCCATTCTTAGCCTGGATAGATCAGTGATGTTCAGAATTGTCACAGGATTCTTCATTTGCTTTGAGACTTGTTCAAGCATCACGTTTATCTCGGGCATTGGCCATACACGACTGTCATTAGGGCCTAGTGTGCTCTCTGCAGTGTCCCCTGAATTCCACTCTCCTCCACTGAAATCAGTGGTAAATCTTACAACCAAATGCTCCATAGAGGAGACAGCAACAATTCTCAAGTTGTTCCTGTCGGACTGAACAGTAGAAGAGCAAACCAGAAATGCGACGGGGATGTGCTTCGGAAGAACACTCGAGTTTGCTGTGGATTGATGTAGCGGTCGACCCACGATGCCCACGTCGTTAGTGCTCTTTGGAAAGCAGTGGAGGCATCAAGATATGGATGAACATGATCTCAAATTCACTATGCAACAGATATGTAATCATCAGGTGCTAGGGTTTCTCTGCAAGGTTACAGGAAACAAGAATATTGAAGAATGCACTTTATTTCATTTTTGAACAAGAACTATATTCATTCATTACTTCACATTAGTCAACCTCACCCATCATTTGTTTTATGACGTGACCACCAAAGAGCAGAGTTGAACACAAGCACATCAGCACCTTTCCATCTTGACGAGCTACGATCTATGGTATCGATCCGTAGCGTCATTGTGCCCTCCCTTCTGGCCCATTCTTGCCTTGGCTTCATGCACCAAGAAATGGGTTGCATGATACTCCACACTGCAATTATAGTCCTGCAACATTGACACCAAGATGACTATTACGCACTAGTCTAGACACTGAGCAGACTAGTTCCACATCAGCTACAGAGCATACGAACCAAGAACTCGAAGTTGTAATATCCTCTCTTTCTTAATCTTGCGGCCACGAGTTTCATGAATCCTTGCAGGATCTGAGATTTCCGTACTCAGCAAGCACATCATGGATTCTGTTAGGCAATAGAAGATTGTATATTGTATGTTTAGGCAGTCCCGTCAATTAGGATCAGAGATTTATACCTGTCCTTGTATTTGTAAACTGTTATAATAGCAGCAGCCGCTGCCCTATAATACAAGCGCCCCTCTCCCATTGAGAGTGTGGCTAATCTCTACACCATACCTGCTATCCCTCCGACCGTTGGCACCTCCTCACATGCTCTCCTGGCGGCCATTCATGTCAGCTAGGCAAGCATACGCGTCTATCCTTCAGTGCCTCTCAGTCTTGTACTCATGTACTCATGCACCGTTTGAACTAATTCATTGTGATGTTTGGACCTCTCCCATCCCTAGTATATCTGGTTTTTCATACTATTTAGTCTGTCTGGATGATTACAGTCACTATTGTTGGGTTTTTCCTCTCCGACGCAAATCCGAGGTCCACCAACACTTAGTTGAGCTCACAGCTCTTGCACAAACCCAATTTAACCTCCCTGTAAAATGCTTCCAAACCGACAATGGCACCGAATTCGTCAACACAGCCACCACCACCTTCTTCGTTGCTCGGGGAACACTCCTCCGTCTCTCCTGCCCATACACTTCCCCTCAAAATGGCAAGGCGGAACGCACCATCCGCACCCTCAACAACTCAATTCGCACCATGCTGCTCCACGCTTCCATGTCTTTGTCAGACATCTTGGTCGAGGCTCTTCTTCTTGCCCTTTGCTACTTACTCAACAGGCGCCCTTCCTCCTCCATATCCCATGAGGTTCCCTTCACTCGCCTCCATGGACAACCACCCACCTACAGCCACCTTTCGCCTTTGGGTGCCTATGCTACCCAAACCTCATGTGCCACCTCCCCACATAGCTTTCACCTGGCTCAGCATGGCATGCATTTTCCTTGGGTATCCATCCTCTCATAAGGGTTATCGGTGTCTTAACACGACAACTCAACGCATCATTATTTCTCGTCGTGTTGTGTTCGATGAGACTGTTTTCCCTTTTCCACCACCAGTGTCATCCCATTCCCTCGCTCCCTGGATTTCCTTCTAGACAACGATTCGGTTTCGGTGCCTTGCTCTACTGTTCCTGCAGGTGGAGGTCCCTCCTCAACGACCACGGTTGCTCCGTCCACCTTGGACGTTGTGCACCGCCGGCGATGATGAGCCGGACCGGCTCTTCTCTCGCACAGGGCGCGGCCTGTGCCCCTAGCCCCAGTTCAGCTTCTCCACCACCGGCGGTGTGGTCACGTGCCCCTTTGGCCTTCCTGTGGCTCCGTTCCCACGGACCTACGATGCGACCCGACCGGTGCACGCGCCATCGGCTGCCTCGAAGACCGGGCGCCCAGTTGAATCCGTGTCCGCAACCCCATCTCCGCTCCGCGCCGCACCAGACCGGCGCCTCCCCGCATGTGAGCTACGAGGGGCTCATTGCCACCTCCTTGCCCTCACCATCGCCTCTCTGCGGCGAACTACCGCAATACCGCCGATGCCAACCGGCGGGCTGCAATGATGGCTGAGTACTGTGCACTCGCCGACAACGACACTTGGCGTCTTGTTCCGTGCCCTCTGGCGCCTGAACGTTGGACGGCAAGTGGATTTTCCGGCACAAATTCCATGCCGATGGGTCCCTCGCTTACAAGGCCCTGCTTTGGGTGGTCCGCGGGTTTTCTCAACGAGAAGGCATTGACTACGGACGAGACCTTCGGTCGGTGGTCAAACAGGCCACCATTCGGACCGTTCTCAGCATTGCCGTCTCCCACGCCTGGCCGATCCACCAGCTGGATGAGAAGAATGCCTTTCTTCACGGCCACCTCGACTAGACGGTCTCTCATCGCCAGCTGACCACCAGGTTTCGTCGACCCCATGCACCGCGAGATGACGTCGCCTCCGCGCAGGTCCTCAGACGGTTGAAGCGAGCCTGCCCAGCGCTTGGTACCGGCGGTTTCATGACCCTCCTTCAACAAATTCGCCGCACCTCCACCTCCGACATCGTCCCTCTTTGTTCTCACCGAGGGGACGAGTCCTCTACTTCTTGTCTCGTCGACGACATCATCCTCACCGCCCGACTTCGCTTTCCGCAGCGGCGACTCATGGTCCCGACTCTAGTGAGTTCGCCATGACCGACTTGGGTGCTCTTCACCACTTCCCGGCGTCGCCCGTCACCCCGCACCTCCGACGGCTCTGTTCCTCGCGATGACGATGTCGTGCGTCGATCTCCTCCAATGGAGCGGGCATGGGCCGAAAGTGTCATCCTACGGCAACCTCACGGACACTCGGGCCAAGCTCTCCGCCCATGAAGGCAACAAAGCGGTTCGCTGACGGCACATTTCGAGTCTGAGGAGCATAGCGGGGGCTCTTCAAGACCTAACTCGACGCGTCTTGATCCGGATTATGTAGTTCAACGGTGTGTCTCTTCATGCACGCCCCTAAGGAGCCCCACCGCATTGATCAAAGCGATTCTCAGGCTATGTGAAGGGTAACGCTATCCTCCGGTCTTCACATTGGCGCCTTGGCTCCATCTGTGACCGACCACATACTTTGATGTTGACTGGCTGGTTGCCCCGACTCAAAGCGGTCCACTGCTTCGCGTCTATCTTGGCGCCAACTCGTCTCCTGGTCCTCCAAACGCCCAGATTCACGTCCTCTCCCGCTCTAAATCGAAAGGAATACGTCTTTGTGGCTCACGTTGTGGCGAAAGTGTCATTCGCTGTGCAACTCCTTCAGAGCTCCATCTTCAAACCCCTGTGCTACGGTGGTCTTCTCGCGACAACGTGGCCGGCGCCCTACATAATGACCAATTCGATCCACCAAGTTTACGAAGCATATTGAGATTGACATTCACTTTGTGCGCGAGAAGGTGGCCTTGGCACAGATTCGGGTCCTTCATGTTCTTCGCCTCATCAG